TAATGAAATTCAAATTGTAAGACGAAAATTGTTAGGTGGTGTTATCCCACCATCTTTTAAATATTAGATTTCTCGTGAGCTTATATTACACAGTTGGAACCTCCATTCATCATTAACTAATTCTTTCATATTAAGTTTCTTGTTGCCTTATATTAAAGTTGGAGTTGGACCCTCCACTTACTATTAAATTGTAAGAACAAGCGTTCATTGTAGTTATTTGTTCATGTTGTACCCTCCACTTTAGAGATATTATTCCAGAACTACAAAGTCTTTGGGGGCTAGCAAGCCCAAGCCATATCTCTACTACACTTTATTGATATGGTAGTTGATACACAAAATAATTCGAAATAATCGTTTCATCGTTAAATAACTAATAAAATATTAAAGTAGATCCCTCAAATAATATCAGAGAAAAAAATCATTATATTTCACCACGTGCCACATAAAATATAAAAATATATAAATGAAGGATGATTTTTCCTCCAAAACCTCCAGTCTGCATCTTCGGGGGTGTAGATTAGGAACTAAAGGATGAACTTCAATTGTTCTTTACGTAAATCAAGAGAGACAAACCACAAACAACTATCACATCTTTCCATTATTATCCCATTAGATCATCTCATTTATTGTACATCGATCAATAACTCATAAGTAATTAATAACTTACAACATGGTCTACCTTCTTTTAACCAAATGTTAAATAATTATCTCAAGTAGTTTCTGTAGTTATTCTCTTTGCAAGAACACTTAAATGACTCATATATATAAATATATATATATATATAAGTTGTTGCTTTTGTTCTGGTTTGTTTATATGTAAGAATAAAAGCAAACAGGCTTATGTATGATCAATTAATACCAACTTACAAGGCATGCAATTAACATGGATTACGATTAGGCTGGTAATGTCATGCATCTAAATGTTGTCTGCAGCGGGTTAAAAAGTCAGGATATATATGTGATGTTGAATCTGTTCCATTCTTTTGTATTAGATACTTGTAAGCAAACATTAATGTGTTATTTTTCTGCAAATATGTTTGCATGAACAAGCAATCTCATAATCATTCTAGTAATCTGAATTCTGTAGAATGGATATATATTTAAAAATATGAAGGTAATAACCATATATGATGCTCGAATTATATGAAATTTATTTAGCTATATTATATTCAATGGGTGTGAGCAACAAAAGCAAACTGTGCTCTTAGAACAGACTAGACGCTATAGAAATATATAATAATGTAAAAATCTCTTGGTCGACATAACACATGCAAACATTGAAACTAATACTTGTATTTTCCCAAAGGACTGTAGGCTTTGATAAGCATATGAAGCCTGTTGTCATCCTTCAAGTTCCGCTGAATCAACCATGCAAGCTCATTCAAATTATAAATTAATACATGATAAAATTATATTATAATGTCTTATAAAAAAATAAATTCATTTGTTAAATCGCAAAAAGAAAAAATAGCTGACTTTAAACCTTTAAAAACAACTCTATCTTTACCAAAGGTTATTAATTAGAATCTATAAAGATAATCAGGGGCGAATGCTTAATTTTATGTAAAGGGAGACGAACCTCTAAAATGTTAAGAGGGACAATTTATAAAATTTTAGAAGACGGATATAGATTTTCAATAAAAAATATTTAAGATTTAAAATAGATGATAATTTTTAATTTTTAAGGATGATGATGCCCCATCCATCCTCTTGATCCATCCCTGAATATAATTAACAATGTTATGTAAGAAATATATATATAATTAATAAGGTAAAGCTTCTTTGACATCTGGACATGCATGCATATATAATTCAGACCTTTGATTCGGAAATGGGTGCAAGCATGTGTACATCACATGCATGAATAGCAGGATGGGTGCCCTGCAAACAAATGAATTGGCCCATTTCGTTAAGTCTCAATCTGCATCTTAATTCACGGGGTTCACTGATGATGGAGCATATTTATTGGCCCATGTGCCCCGGCCAATAGAGAGTTTAAATTTTAATTTAATTTATATTATACTATATTCTGACGATGATAACTAATTTAATTACACTTCTGCACGTAACTAATACCCTTTTTTTAATTCTTTAAATCTCAAGTCTTCCCCTCATATCTTTCATCGACCTTGACTTATTTGTTTTCATATACTTAAAGTATGAAGAAAGAGTGGTATTGTGCATGAAGCCACGTCCCTCGTATACTTCATATTTGGATTTCGCTCGTCAGTTTCACGTACACATTGATTGAACCATTTGGTTACTGATTAATCTGATTTCTTTCACCTCAGGAAACTAAAAAAAAAAAGTGATATGAAAGTACCTAACCATGCACCATGTGTCATGTTGCTGCATTTTTATAATCTTTGAACCTTCTTTGTTTATTTTCTTGTAGGACCATTCCATGTACCCACGCAAATTGTTAATTTTTTATATTGATTAAAATTATTGTTTAATTTTGAGCTCGTTTATCTAAGGAAGGATGGCAAACGGGGCGGGTGCACATACCCTCTCTATCCCCATACTCACCTATTTTTAAATCCATCATCCGCTCATCACCCATAATAGGTAAAATTTTTCAAATCCACACCCGTCCATGCGGGTATATTTTCAAATTCATCCTCACACACACTACCTAACTGGAGACATACCTGGCTAGACCCGCCTGACAGCATATATCTTATACAATATTAAGATTTATAAATTAGTCTCTAAAATTATATATAAATTCATAATTATTTAAAATTTAATGTGTATTTAGTGGGCAGGAGGATGTGGGGTAGGTAAGGTTTCAAACCCATCACCCGCCCACTACTCGCGACGGGTACCACTTTCTAAATTCACACCCGCCAACTACCCACTAAATTTATACTCATCTCCTCCCCAATTGGAACGGGTACGGTGCGGAATCCACGAAATTGTACCCATTTGCCATCCCTACTTGGGTAGCGACTACCAATATTTAGCGGTATAATCCCACCATCGATTATATATATTAAAGGTAGACCAAAAGAATAAGTGACAGTAATTCTTCTAAAAATTTTAAATTAATAATCTATTTTTTCCCTCAACATAAGATCATTTTTCCCTCTTTGATCTACAACATGGTCTAGTATTCCATAAATCTATAGTCAGCCGTACATAATAGGATCCCTCACGTTATGTTATTGGAGTGTGACCTAATTTAGTTTTATTTGGTTATGAGCAGATGAATGTTGACGTGTATTAGAGGTTAAGTAAACCGATGGGTAGCATTCAGAAGAAATTTCATATTTTGACTCTGCGTTTTCCTACGTGAAATCAATAAATAGTTTTGTAGTCTGACATGCCAAGAAAACGTAACGACACGAGTAGTTGTCTTGCTACTCAATTGTCGACGTATCCTTATAGATGGCATCCAAATTACTTGAATTGTTAGGTAAACTGATGATCCCTAATCACGAGAATACATCAGAGACACATACATACGATAAAAAAATTACCATAATCGCTGATAAATTATAATAAAATTATACTAATATATACCAAACCTTAGAATTTTTTATATGCATATAATATTGTAATAATATAACGACTCTAATGGAATATAATTATATTAGTTTTTCTCTCAATTTATTTTTCATCGAACAAATTAAAAATTGAGTATAATAAAATTAACATCGTATTTCAAATTTTAATTAAACTATCATTCAAACTCAATTTTTATTCAAAAAATTAAAAAATCATCAAGTCAAAAATCATTTATAAAACTAGTGTAATAACAAATGATTAAATATAGGGTAAAGTACATAAATAGTCTCCGATTATATGATACTACTTTGTTGAGTCACCGATTATTAAAAGTTATATAATGATCTCATGATTATAGGGAGTTGTTTTGTTGAGTCCCTCAACTATTAAAACTTACAAAATAATCATCCGACTATTCATTATGTTTCAAACTCATCATTTTCCATTAAAAAAATTAACGACCGTCTGAACTGGACGTTAACATGTTGAGTGAGATATGATAATCGTTTAAAATTATGAGATCATATTTTATTATATCTCAGTCATCAGACTAATGTCCAAATCAGACTGTCTTTAATTGTTTTAACGAAGAATGACGAGTTTAAAGCATAATGAATAATCAGATGACCATATTGTAACTTTTAATAGTTGAATGACTTAATAAAACAACTTCTTGTAAAGAACTATTTTATAACTTTTAATAATTGGAAGACTTAATAAAATAATATCATACAGTCAGAATCATTTGTGAACTTTATCCTTAAATATATTGATAAAAAGAAGTACACCGTGGAAGACGGGGAATCGGAAATGTAGAGGCTTTCTTCAAAAGCACGACTTAAAGCGGGTGTGCCGTGTGGGTAAAGATAGCGCGCGTATCTTCTCTACGTTTCTCTGGTTAAATCTTATACCACTAGAACTTAGTTATCTATACATAAATAATTTGATTTATACTTGTATTTGACAATTAAAAGATGATAAATATTTGGGATGAAGATAAATTTATTTATTTATCCTAAAACATATTGATTAAGATAAAATTATAAAACGCCTTTAATCTTTACAACACAAAGCTAAAATAAATACCATAACAACGCCTTTTGTGTGCCCTTTGTATTAAAGCCACATTAAGAAACAAATATATGGTATTATAAATAATCCAAATAATATATAAAAAGTACATTAATAAAAGCAATTACATATATTAAATACATTACTTGATTTTTGTTTAAACCGGATCCCAACATTAAACATTTTTATTTAATGAACATAAAATAATGGATAACTAACGGACTGCTATAAAAACATGCCCATTCACCGCGTTTTTAAATCATAATCATAAAACTGTAACTTTTGTGTGCCCTTTGTATTAAAGCCACATTAAGAAACAATATATGGTATTAAATAATCCAAAATAATATAAAAAGTACATTAATAAAAGCAATTACATATATTAAACATTACTTGATTTTTGTTTAAACCGGATCCCAACATTAAACATTTTTATTTAATGAACATAAAATAATGGATAACTAACGGACTGCTATAAAAACATGCCCATTCACCGCGTTTTTAAATCATAATCATAAAACTGTAACTCAAACTTTACATCAAATCGAATTGACAATTTCAAGTATGCCAATAGAGAGTCGACACGCATTGATACAAACAACATTCCTACACCAAATCTCCAACTGCCACAAAAGCATAAGAAATGATTTAGTCCACAAAATCATTATAGTTTGATTAAATTAGGGAATTAATAAAGGTATTTATTCAAATTTTAAAATTGGTTCATGCGCATCCCTAAGTTAAGAAGGGCGCTGTCATTACACGTGTAAAATCATTTTTGCGTTTTAGTTTGAAATATATCAAAGTAAATTGTTTAAAAAAGGAAAATAAATAATATGAAGGATTTTTTTTTGTACAACAAAAGTTTAGGGATGACTCCTGATCTAAGGTCAAAGTATATTTAAGATTCAATTGATATTTGCATAAGAATTTATAGATTACGCATCAAGAGTGACGATGATAATATTCGAATTTGACCTTACAAACTTAAATTCTTGAATCCCAATCACTCGTTGACGATAATAGGAAGGAAATCAATATTTAGAATATAATAAAAATAACTAAATCTACTTGAAAGAGATAATTTTCAATAACCATCAAAATTATTAAAATAAAGTAAATTAAATAATTTGATTATTTAAAATAAGAGAAAATTTAAAATTAATAGTATATATACATATTCATTATTAATTTTATAGAACAAAATCCATAAATTAAATTAATTTATATTAAAACGATACTTTCAGACACTAAATTTTTAAAAATTAGATAAAAAGTATTAAATTTTATTAGAAAATAGATACAACACTGTAATACGCCATTAAAAAACACATAGAACCAATCCTCGGGTCGAAGAAATCAAAAGAAGGGGTTGCTTACATGTCTATTTGGTGATGGCATAGATAGCATAAATGATACCGGGGATGTAGCCGAAGAGGGTGAGTACAAGACAGAGCCAGAACTCCACCTGCATCAAAATCAATTAACGTTAATTACGGTATAAAACTCCATAGATATCGTAATTGCAGTAGAGAAGGCGGAATTATTTAGTTACAGACGGTGACCTGGCAACCAAACTTGAGGAAGACTCCAAGAGGAGGCAAGATGATGGCCAGGAGGATATCTATGCAGGTGGCTGTGCTACCGTCTGCCATTTTTGCTTCTTCTTTACAAGCCCTACAGATTGAGCTTTGTCTTTTCTTTTCTTCCTCTCAGTGTATTGGTGGATGGAGAAGAAAGACAAAGAGATTAGGTTTCAGAGAGTTCTAGTATGTATGGTAGATGAGAAAAATGGTGAATGGTGATAGCGATATTTATAGACTCCCCTCGAATCCACGTGTACGATTTTGATTTTGATACTGATTTGCAATATAATGTAAAATTTTAATTATTATTTTATAATAATATAATAGTAATAATTGTTTTATAATAAATTAATAAAATAAATTTATAAATTTCATAAATATTGATTTTTAAAAATTAAATAAAATACTTTACTTAATCATGTAAGAAGTGTTTTAGACATCAAAATGTAGTGCTAAAACTGGGATTATGCTTCAACATTGTGCCATGAACTGGAGGGAATAATCCCACACGTACAGCTCATAGTATGAAAGCCCCCATGTGCTTGCTTTCATTGCAGTTCATTTGGACCACGAGGCACTCGAACCGTTGCGACAAACCCGACGGCTCAAATGTGCCGCATTAACCTGAAACAGCGGAGCAACGTCCTGGAAGGCATGTCGGTAATATTGTCGTGACCGGTGATCACCAATCAGATCCGTCATGCTGTGGCTTTCCTACCAACACACGCAACTCGGATAATTACAGATCTTGATTATACTGTTACACTAACATATATGGGCTTGACAGTTAAACCTATCAGACCTGTTATATTTACAAAAATAGTCCTTCAAAAGATTTTTCATTTTCACTCTTCATTCTTCAAGCTCCTTCTCTAAAGGGTTTCCTTCACCTGGAGGAAGTTCATTTGAAGACGAACAACAATCCAAAATTTCATCATTATGGACTCTGATTGGATCCTACATCATTACCTGATTTTTATTTTAGAAATAAGAACGACAATGAAAACAATGGATCCTGCATCGTTTTGACTTGCGTGAGAATCTATATCAAATGGATATCGGAGGTTTAATTTAAACGAATAATGATGGATAATAATAATTGCAAATGATCCAATCCAAACTAATTTGACGCTCAATAACAATAGAAGTTTAGGGGGTTTTAATTGATAGATTAAAAGGAAAATCAAAAGGGGATGGCAATATGCTAATAACCAAATCAAATGAAGGCAGTAACACTATGACTATCAAAATATCAATCGAGAACATAATAGCCAACAATCACAACAACAACAATGAGCAATGCTATTTTGCAGACATCACAGTCGGGAGATTTGCGGATTGCATTCGTATTTCCTCGACAACCTTCCCTCTCTTTTATTGTCTTGTATTTAATTTCATTGAATTGCAGGGTTGATATCTTCAAATATCCATGCTAGCTACTTCTAACACGACAGAGTACCTCATCTGAAAACCAGATTGTGGCATGTTCTGTCACAGGGATACGGACAATCAATGGACTTCACTCCTGCTCTGTCAAAATACCAATCTCCAACAGCTATTGCAATTGGCTGCCACATTAACAATTGCATAGTCATTTACATATCCTTTGCCAATATAATGAAATATGTTGTTCTATTAGAGATACCTTGTTTCTGATTTCAGGAGAATCATCGGCAAACCATGTGTCTTGCCTTTCTGATTGGCAGTGAGCAAAACACGAATTTATGAATAATCCGTTCCGTCTCGACATTGCAAACCCTTTTATGGCATTAAGCATCTGCGTCCGGAAGCCTGGTTCACAAACAAAGATTTGCTTCTAAATAGGATCTATCATGTGTTGAAATGCATGTCGGATGGATAATCGATTTCACACGTGAAGTCACCTTGTAAAAACCTGATCTGGGAAGGAGAACATTTTGCATGGTTCAATCTGCAATCATGCCAATAACCGTGTGGATCCGCCGATGGAGGGGCTATACTGGATTGAATCTGATTTCAAGAAAGGAAACCAAATCGTTCAACATCATACATTATCATGTCCTAATTTATAAATCGATAATGTTATTCTTCTGGCAAGCATCATTACCTGCCATGAATCGTAAGCTGCATTAAGAATAAACAGTGGAGTTTGGATTTGGCTGATTAGATTTTGCGGGAAGAAACACTGAAATAAGTTTCATAGAAGAGAACAATGAGTCATTCACATGATGTTTCTTGTTAATCACTCAAACGAAAGAAATCGAGAAAATGGATATACCGAAGTTGGATCTAGGTGGTTGGTGCATATGCGTGGCAGGTTGTGTTGCACACCCTGTGATATCAATAAGAAACAGGGCTTGATCATTTAATAATCCACAAGTTTTTCTTCGTGTTTCTCCAATCACTTATATCAAACCCTTTGATACCGATAGGTAAAAGTGAGAAAAATCATTTAAATCTCGAACCTGCAGGCCAACCACGCCACTGTACATACTCCTAAGTGTCCGACCACCAGAGACATCAACCCTACAGTCCAAAGAGGACATAATAAAATTAAATTAAGAACTAAGAAACAATCTCTGTAACTGGTGCTTAAAACAAGAACTTGAAAGGGTAATGATACATACGTATCAAGGAATAGACCAGCATCAGCAAGGCATTTAACTCTAATGTTTCTGGGAAACATGTTCCTAAACTCATCACAGTGCAAAATCGCCGCCAAACCTCCAGCAGAACACCCCGAAAGAAGAGCCTGAAATTCAATCCTTCTTTTTAACAACAAAAAGTAAATACGAAAACGCGGTGAGACATAGCCTAATGGCTAATACTTGACATACTTATACCTCCAACTTCAAGAAAATAGAAATAAACATACAGAAGGTAGTCCTTTTTTGAAAGAAAGTGACAATCAAAGATAAATGCAAACCTGATTTGCATGGCGCATTCCTTTAGACATTAAGTCTTCCATTGCAGCTAACCATATGCGTTGGCCTCTAAATTGCAGCTTGGCAGCCTAAACACAGTGTAGCATATTAACAACAAAACACTGAACTAAGACAATGAAAGCAGATAAAAGTTTTCTATAAATTGAGAGCCGTAATTTTCAATATCTAGGCTACCTTATCTTGACTGTCCCCAGTAAAAGAGGCGCCGTCACAATAACGAAGCTTTACTCTGTTCCAATTGAAAAAGTCTGCAATTTTAATAAGATGATGATCAGGAATGGTACTTCTAAAGTTTACATAGTATGAATCTTTCGTGGAATAAGAATGAAGAGGAGACCGGGATTTTCTTCAGCTTTTTCACTTAATATGCCTGTAAATGGTATCTGCTTTTCCATGTACATAGATGATCCACGTCTGGTTTTCTTGCGGTAGACACAAGTTCGAACGTTATTGCACCATCCTCCTCCCTGCCACAACACAATGAAAAAGAACATTATTTTAGAGAAACATACAACTTTTGCAGAATTTACATGAGATTTTAAGAAATGACCTATAACATAGATATGTTGGGACATGCAATCAAGTAATAACTATATATGTCCATCATTTGTTTTCTCTCTCACATACCTCCAATTGAATGAGCCAGCTATTCGATCCTGATCCATATCCACGATGCCAATGATACCCCGGCAATGTTCCATCTAGGCAGACTGTATAGTTGAAAGGTGAAATAGAAGCACGAAAATTAAGACAAATGCCAAGAGAGTTTAAGTGGACTAAACTTATGTTACTGGAACTTAAGTGTCAGTTTTGGATATGAATGTATGTCGGAGATCGGTATGGTTACCTTTCTAAGGTTTTTCATGTATTTGGACGATCTATAGAGGTCATATCCGTGTATCAATATGTCGAAGACAAGTACTTCAAGAAAAAAATTAAGAGCCCGGGCAATATTCGGCTATGATTTCATTAATTCTCAGTATTTGTGTGCAAAACTGATGTGCTGAAGGAAGATGGGGAAAGCAAATGAAATCATCATACAAGAAAAAAGACCTTAGCTGAAAGATTATGGGAGAATGTTGATTGACCAAATTTAATCATGGCCATCATTACAAGTAGAACAACAATCACCGGCTGAAGATCTGATGTTTTTTCTTATTAACTAAAATATCCACCGGCCCTAAGACTACACTGTTAAAGCTAGAATAGAAGTTGAATAAATAAACCGGGAAAGAATTGATGTTTAAGGAAGGAAACGAAGCAGAAGCAAACCTCAAACAACAACACAATAACTGCACACCTTAAACAAAATAAGCATAATGCTACATTATTAGTGTTATTTTTACAAAACCCAGTTTTCTTTTTCCTTTTTTACATAAGAAAAGGCCAACGAACTCTAAATCTGGAGTAAAATACAAAGAAAGATCGGAAATGTACCAGCTCCTTTAGCACCAGCAGTATGAATAAGAGTGAGTCCAACCATGAGAGGGTTATAGTTGATTTTGGAGGCTCCATATTCCAAATACTCAAGAAAAGACAGCTCAGTTTCATTAAAATCTAAAAAGGCAGTAACCAGTTGAGCAAAAGCAAATGCTAAAACAACCCAAACCCCAAAAAGCTTCATTATTGCTTCTCTTCTTCGTCTTCTTCTCCCCGAACGTGTAGAGAGAGAAGATGTGAAGAAAAAAGCTTGAAACTTGCAGATTCGTTTGTAAATGAACAAGATTGCCAATGAAAATGTAAGAAAATGGTACTTTAGTACGGCTAAATTAAATTAAAAAATATTGGTTCTTTCAAGTGAAGGAGTTAGATAGGGGAGGTTACAGAACAATATATATGAAGGTAGCAGCAAGCAAGCAAGCGAGTAGATTTGCAGATTGAAGGAGCTGTTTAAGGGGCGGTGATTGGAGAGAGAAGAGATGCAAAAGATGAAAAGCACAGGGAAACCTACCACACTAAACTAGCGTGTGTGTTTTGCCGGGCTTTTTCGAGATTATATGTAAAAGTTATAGGGTAAAGTACATAAAAGGTAGCTAATATATTCTCAAATGATCATTTTGCCTACTGAACTTTTCAAACTTATAAAAAAACCATTATATTTTATCCAACTATTACAAAATAATTATTAACATTTATTAAATTATTATAAAATAGTCACTAAACTTATTGAAAATTTACAATTATTATAATATTTCAGTGACTATTTTATAATAATTTGATAAAAAAAATGATTATTTTAATTTTTAAAATTTTAATGATTAAGAGATTATTTAATTATAATTTAGTGACCTATAATGTGCTTCATCCTAAACTATATACTAATACTTCGGAAATTAAATGATTGTTTTGTGAGTTTTAAAAACTCAATGATCAAAATGATCATTTAATCATAGGTCAGTGATCTCTTATGTATTTTACCCTAAAATATATACTATGTTCTTGGTTCTTTAATTACACAATATTTAACTAAATATAATATTACCCACAACCAATTGATCTAGCGAGATGAGAGATTAGATTCTTTAATTAAGTAATGTCATAAATTTAAACTCTAATATTTGTGATTGGAGCAAAATATAATATATTAATCGAAATTAGTTGATTAATATATTGAATATTAATGATTAATTAAAAAAATAAATACAATACTACTCTGTCTCTGGGAGGATCCTGGCATCCTGCAGACACAGAGAGAGGGGGAAAAGCACGCAGGGAATCTCTTTGAACTCTTTGTCTAAGAGGAAAGCTAAGAACACCTATGATTTGGCGGGCAATGAAAATAAATATATAAAACTTCTGAAGGTGGGATCGGATTCCCAACACTAATTCGATACATATCTGTTTCCAACACAGTTGCTTTTCTATCTTTTCATTTTCATTTGTGTGTGTGTGGCGTACCCTACTTACTTTTGCCGTCCAGCTGTGCTTCGTTTTTTATACCAAACTCACCATAGCCATCATTAATATTCAGTTAGGTCAAACGATAAAAGATACTTTATATTTAAAATTTATGATTTGGAAATAAAATAATATTAGATGAGCTTTATTTTATAGTTAAAAAATGATTTAACTAGATTATTGATACAAGTAGAATTCATGAGGCTATTGAAATATTTTACAAGTCATAGTTGCGTAAAGTACTTTCGAGTTGGGCACACATTTTCCCTAGAAGAATAGATCCTTTACATGCACATGAAGGTTGGTATTTTTTTTATCAAATTAGATGTCAGTAACTAAAAAACAATAACATGAAAATGAGCAAAGAAGTTTGGACAATCAAACAACGATGTTAGATGGAGTTTAACACATAAATTATTAAACTTGAACTGATTCAACACTCATACAAGACAAGAATCAAATCAAAATTATAAAGGTGAGAAACGTATCCAATAACAAGAGTACTCATAAATAGTCCGAACAAAAATATTTTAGAGAAGGTAAAAATCGACATTAACTTTAGAAAATAATAAATAAAATTTTAAAAAACAAATATATTAGAAAATGATAACAAATTAATCAAGATAAAACTCTTTAATTAAATTATCGTATTCGTGAGAAATTAAAAAAAATTATCTTCCTTTAAAAAAATATAAGAACGAATAATAAATTTTCATTAGTAAATTGATACCACAAACGAGGGAAACGCTCAATATACACTCTCTTATCTCATATCCGTCAACGTTGGTATTACTCTATTGATTAGGTTAATAGTTTATGCTTGTCTTTCCATTTCAGTTAAATAATGGATCCTTTGCGTAAACGCTGCTTTAATTTATTGTAATTTGTGAATCTTCCCTCGCTACACGTAAACATACATTCCCTTTCAATATATATTTACAACGGGAAATAGACATCATACATTGGTGATAGTGAGAACCAGTACATTAACGATTAATAAAGGCAAGCATAGTTGATTCAAACTGCTTAAACGGATAACGATAACTCTTTTAATCCACTTGAACGATACATACTTTTATATTAAATGGTTGAATTTTAAAAACATTAATAAGAGTGGTTTTTTTAAATTTTAAGAAAAATAAAAATAAATTATTAATAAAAATATACATTTTTTTAAAATATATGATAATTTTAAAATTTTAAAATAACAACCAACTTGACCGACGTTTAGTCCATTCCTGCACTGGACAAGCTAATATCCTCTAGTATTGTAGAAGGCTCATGTGCTGAAACGAGGAGATTAAGGGGTTATTTGTTTACTTTAAAATGATTAAGCGTTGAATGATTTAGCGGTTCTGTGTGAATTAACTCTGAATGTGACATGTTGTTTGATAATAGCTCTGAATCATTCAGAATGTACTTTTGTGCTGAATCATTCAGAACTGTTTTGCTGAATCAGTCAACAATGAATCATTCAGATGTAATAAACAAACAGCCTGAATATTGAACGATTCAATTCAGAACCAAATAAACCGCCCCTAAATCAAGACTCTAGGCTTCAATAATTTGTAGTGTTTCAATCTTATTTAAACCCCTAATAGATAAGAGTTAATTTAAATGAATTGACGTGTGACGCTGACACAAGCGGATTCAATTATAGAGAGGACTGTCAACCTCATTTATATCACTGCTTTTTAGTTAATCAATATATTCCAGCCTTTTTATTTTATGGATTTTTAAAATAAAGATTTATACAATATTTTAATTATTTATAGGTCCTTCCACTTTTTATAATTAGAGAAAAGAGAGGTGTTTGAAGTTTGAACCCTCTTTTAGTACCATTTAACCATTAAAACAGTAGGGTCAAGAGCGGATGGTAACAAAGATCAAAGGAAGTCTTGGCACCTTAAAAATCATGGGAAATTCGTATTATATTTATAAAATATTTTTAAAAATTAATTATGTTTCCTAAAATAATTACAATCTTTTGAGGGCATAACTTTTTTTATAAATAAATATGTATTCGTAATAAAATCCTGCTTTGCGTTAAGAAACTTTGATCTTTCAAAATTCAAACTGATTTAGACGAATTTGGAAGCGAAATCCTGCTTAAAAGACGGCAGTCTAGTAGCCTAAACTCCCGGTATCGTGTTATGAGCTGGTTAAGCACAATTAATTACATGTAAAACTTATATATATATATATATATGTATGATATTCAGAGTTTCAAGGAAGGGAGTGAGAGGGCAACAAGGTCCCCGTGAATGGGTTTGTTGTGAATCGTCGGCACACTATCATGTGTAATCATTGATTGAATTCTACTTTATTTATTTAGTTGCCTGTTCGTCGGTGTATGTTTACTATCACTGTGCATGGGTGGATGGTTAGCAATAATATAAATAAATAAATATAACCCATGCCATGCATTTCATATTATTGATCCATAAAATTAAACAATACGAAAAATATGACTAATATTTTGTTGGGTACAAGTGATCTCTGGTTATAAGGTGTTATTTTATTAAGTTTCATGACAATTAAATGTTACAAAATGATATTTGATTATAAGATATTTTTTTTGATCATCTGACTATTAAAAGTTATAAAGTGATCATCCAATTATTTATATGTTCCAATTGTTTTCGTTAAAAATTGGCATTTGTCTAAGCTGTACGTTAATCTGCTGACTGAGATATTATTAAATCATATTTTAATGATGTCTACTGACAGTGTCATTGCTTTCAAGCACTGGTTCGCTAACATGATGTTTCAAGTATTGACTCGATAACATAATATAAATGAATATTCGATCGACAAAATATAATTAAAATGATTATGTGATTAAATTTTATCATATCTTAGTTAACATATTAACGTCTATCTCAGGCGACCACCAGATTTTTAACATAAAATGATAAGTTTGAAATATATTAATAGTCAAATGACCATTTTGTAATTTATAATTATTGGAGGAAGCAATGTTTTATAGTCAATGACCATTTTGTAGCTTTTAATAATTAAAATGCTTAACAAAATAATATCTTATAGTTGGGGACTATTTATGTATTTTACCCATATTTTTACTTTAGTTATAACATTTTATCACTTAAATAAAAATGTGTGCATGTTAGTGGTAAATAAGGATGCGTTAAATATTTTTGTATTTGTTGGTGTTTAAATTTATGGTTTTTAGAAATAATAACGATTCATTTAATCACTGAGGTAAGTTGGATTGTGCCTACTCATTCTTTTAAGTAGCTTATACTCTTTAAAAATAAAAAGGAATAATTAAGGTGATTATTTCACAGATTGCGGTAAAAAAAATCTTCACAAGTAATTTTGTAGATAATTTTGAAGGATTATACGATAATATATATTTAAAAATATAAAAAAACAAATTCATTTCACTTCATGTTTTATTAATTAATATTTTAATTAAATAAATAATATTTGTAACGTTGAATTAGTATACCGTGTGGATAACAAAAAAAAACTCCTCAAATAATAATGAATATCTTACAAGTATGGTACAATTAATATAAATACTCTTGGGTGTACTTGTAGTTTTTTAATTTCATAATTAAGCAGAGTTAGAAATTTATTTTGCATCTTATTTACTTTTTAATTATCAATAAAGAATATAAGATGATTTTTTATTTTTGTTTATAAAATTATTATTAACTTATCGAGTAATTATATATAAATAATATTTAGAGAAAGAAAAAAAGACTTTAGTGTGGTGTGAATTAATGGAAGAGAAAAGAGAAGCCACCATACAAATGCAATTTAGAATTTGTGATCTATATTTTATTTTGACATTATAATAAATTATGTGTCTGTATCTTTTTCTTTTAGAAATTTTCATATAAATATTATTTTTTTAATATTATTTTTTATTTTTCATTATCTTTCATTATTCTTGACTAGCACAACACACCGCACATAAATTGTTAAGAAAAGTGAAAAAGATATATATAAGAGAGAATAACTTCAGTGACCGAAAATATTTATAATATATAATTTTAATTAATTTTTTTTGGATTTGTAAAATTAACCAAAAAAATCGCAACGCGAACTCCTATTTCGCAACACAGTTTCCAAAGTCGCAACGCGAACATGAAAATTTTCGCAAAGCTAATTACCGATATAGGTAAACACAACTATCGCAAAGCGAATTTCGTTTTCGCAATGCTAATTACCGACATAGGTAAACACACTATCGCAACGCGAATTTTATTTTCGCAACGAGAATTTCGCAAATCGAATTCGTCAATTTCGTAACTTAATTACCGATATAGGTAAACACGATAGAAAGGTAGAAAAAATTCGGTAAAAAAATTCGGTAAAAAAATCCGAATTCAACAATTTGAAAACTGAGTTACGAATTTTGCAAATTCGTGTTGCGAATGTCAAATCTTGCCTCTTATAGAAAAAATTAAAGGACATAAAATGCATTGGAATGGTTTTCAACCTAGGACATCACAATTGCTAAGTCCACGTATGAATCACTCAGCTAAACCTACGCTTGTAAATGAATTGAACAAACACGAACGAGCGTATGTTCATGTTCGTTCGTTCGTTCGTTTAACTTTAACCAGACAAACGAACTGTCGAAATTATTTTTTCTTTAAGAGGCGAGACTTGACATTTCGCATCACGAATTTTCTGAATTCGCAACTCAGTTTTCAAATTGGCGAATTCGGATTTTTGACCGGATTTTTTCTACCGTGTTTACCTATATCAATAATTAAATTGCAAATTTGCGAAATTCGCGTTGCGATAGTTGTGTTTACCTATATCGGTAATTAGCGTTACGAATTTGGAAGCTGTGTTGCGAAATTAGAGTTCGTATTGCGAATTTGTTGGTTATTTTCGTAAATCTAAAAAAATTTGATTAAAATTTACTAAAGTTATTTACTCTATTAATAGATGCAGAAGATTATAAAAGAAATACCACATGGGACAACATTGGATTTGGCCCCACTACTCGCAACTGCATTCACATGGTGCTTTTGAGCTCACCACCGCCACCAATCCAGACCACTACAAAGAATCTAACTGCTGCTTTCACATTTAGCCACAATAATTAATATATTATCTAAATCTCGTAATATTATATTATACATCCGTAGATCTGGCTTCCCCTTATTTCTCTTTCTTCAGCTTCTGCCATCACTTCCGTCGCTTTTAACTACTTAAACCCCATTAGTTTGATTAACATTAATCAATTAATTTCAACAACAGGGAACAGACCATTGTCGGAAACAAAGCATCAATAATGTTACCATAACATAATCTTAATACAGTATCTCTGTTTATGATAATGTAATATTGATCAGCATAATAATATTAATGTATGCGGACTAATTGTTTTGTACTTTTGTTTTTTTTCCTTTATTTCATGTGCTGCCATTAAACTCCTGTCGGTGCTTCCTTCTCCCCCCCTAATTTTATTTAAATGCATTTTTTTATTTCATCCAACGAATCCCTACTTTTAAATTTACATTCAGACGTCTAATAGACAACTACATTTTTTATTTCATCTATTAATAATTAATTATATGATACACATAAAAAAACTACCGCCGATCGTAGTTGATGTAAAACAAATAAAGAAGACATATTACCATTTATTTATTCGTTTGTAAAATTTCAAAACTATACCGTTAGTATATTAAATATAAGAAAAATTCTACGACCTTCGTCGAGCGTTAACGATGAGCACCATTAACGATTAGTACCATTAAATTAATTTATAAAATATTAAATTATAAAATACTAAACATATAATTATAAGTTGTTAGAAATTTAAATATAATTTAATTAAAATACAATATTTATAAAACTTTAGTTTTTAGGGTAATCTATACCATTGCCATCTAGCTATTTACTCCTTTTAATTTAATCACTTATTTTTTAATTTTGTCAATCGGGTCACCTAACTATTTAAATCTTATCAATCAAGCCACCGGCCGTTAAATATTAAAGAAAGAGATGGCGTGTCAGTTAATAAATTTTATATAATTACACATTTAGTCCTCATTACTAAACATTCTATTCATTTGACCATAACTTTTAATTAATTCAATAAATTTAATCTTAAATCAGATGGTGATGTGTCACTATGTAAAAGGCGTTTAAAAATTATCATAACTCTTACACTACATAAGACGATAAAAATAAACATAAATGATCACATAATATATAAGGCGTATATATTTACGTGAGCTATGTAAGAGAAAAACTATAGATGGTTGAGAAAAAGTTAACCAAAATTATAAGAATCTATAACTATAACATGAAATCTAATGTTTCTTTTTAATTCTAATATTTATTAACTATTTATAAAATCAATTATTTAATAATAAAAAATTAATATTAAGAGTATTATTTAATATTAATTTATACTTTCACTCAAAAACTAAAAATATATATATAACTTTGTATAAAATAGATGTGCTATAAGGTTCATACTCCGAGGTTCTGTCTCACACCCCAGTCGAAAAAGGTTCGAGAATCTTCACATCCATTACAAAATCTCTCTTGTTTCTTAATTAATTTATTCTTCAAATAGGTCGTAGCATAATTTTTTCTAATTAAATTAAAATAATTTTCAATTATAAACTCTAAAAATGACTAATTACACAAATAATTGTTCTAATCCTCACATTTTCTCATAGAAACGAATAGTATAATTGAAGTATTTAAATTACATTTAATATAATAAAAATTATCAATTACGCTAATTATCAAATGCATTATAAATATATAACAGTAAATAACTCCTCAAATTTAATTATTTAATAGCTTTTCAAACAATGTTTTTGAAAATTGAAACAATTGCTGATTGAAATACAAATAAAAAAATTGTTCTCGGGAACAATATCTGACATGTTTTGTAAACAAAAAATAAATAATTCAATATAATCATTCATTATTAAGAAAATAATGCAATGGCTCTTTGTTACTCAGTATTGGGGAAATTATTAATAATAAAAACAAAATGAAAATTATATTTCTGAAGAAATATGGCTGCAATTGGAGTCGGATCCATTTTAAATTATTCTTGTGGCTTTGGTTGCTGTGGAAGGTAGAAATGGGCTTCCTATGTGCCCCAAAAATTGATGGTGTCCTGATGTGATGTGACGTTATGTTACGATGTTGATGCCCCCTTCTTCCATAACCGTGGCCATAGCTATTGTCTCTACATGTTTCAAAGGGGAATCATTCAGCAATATTGTTTTTAAAAAAATATAAAATAAATTTGATTGTTTGATTTAATAGGTAAATGTTTAATAATGTTATTAAAAGTCTTTGAAATAAATTCAATATTTATTTTAAATATTATTACAAAAATATAAAAAATATTAATACAAATGAGAATAAACATATATATTTGAGTTTTTAATATATTCAAATTAATAAATACTTTTTTAAAATAATATATTTGAGTTTTGGACTCTCTTACTTATAACATATAGCAAGAGGACTAACTGAATCCAAGGGGCTTGTTATGTGGCCCATTATTTTCTTTTATAATAATTAAAGTTTAAGATAAATTATTTATTTTGTCATTTACTTATCATCTTATTTAAGAATTAAAATATTTGAGACTATAGATTTTTTTTAATTTCTTTAAAATATTATAAAATTTTGAATTTTTCACTTTCATTTTCCCTCTAGAAAAACAAAAGGAATTAACAAAGAATATGAATTAAGATCACATATAACATATCTATTAAAAAAAATAATAGTCTACCCAAAACGAGAATATGATAAAATATTAAGCACTTCCATTTTTCTAATATAAATAAGACATTTTTTTCAATTTAGATTAGATATTATATAACGATTATTCTAATTTAATTTATTTTATATGTAACATTAAAAATTAAATTTATTTTCCCATTTAAAAGATATAGTATATGGTGACGTTAAATCAACTTATAGTTGGTATAATAAAATATATTAACAAAATTCTTTTTTTTTAATGGATAATTTTTAAACACCATAATTTTAAACATTAGAAATGGTTCTATTTTATATATATGTAGAGAGAGAAATGGTTCTATTATAAGAGATTATTTCAAACTTCAAATATAAATCATATAAAGAAAATATAACCATAGAGTTTTAGTATAAATAAAATTTAAGACCACACTAATTGTAGCAACATCAACTATATACGCAATTGCAATCCCAAAATCCCATTTAAATGCACAATCCACACACTCACCGAAGTGGATTTCAGCGTCCATCCAAAACGTATCCGGAGTTCTGTTCGAGTATCCTTCATCTGGAAAAGTACCTACCGGACGAGAATAGCCGGCGGGGAGAGAACATCCCCATGTACCGAGGCGAAGCAAGACCGTCGATCGATCTATATTCCGAAATGATAAACCCTTCTCTCCCCTCACCTTCTCTCCCCTCACGCTCCGACGACCCATTGAACGTACCGCATTTCACCAACTTCCCCACCCACGATTTCTTCTTCTGCGGGCTCCTATGACCCGCATTCATTTTCTCACCCAGATACTCCTTCACCGCATGCAACCCTTGCTCGAAAACCTCCGCCGGCGGCGACATCAAGGGGTTCCCTTCCACGCTCAACTTCTGGAGCCTCTTCATGCATCCGATGGAATCGGGTAAAGTTGCGATTTTATTGTAACTGACGTCGAGTTCCACGAGGGAAACGAGGAGGCCGATGGAGTAGGGGAGGTTCTGAAGGTATTGGAAGTTTTGGCTGACGTTGAGGACCTGGAGGTTGATTAAGTTCTCCATGTCCTCTGGGATAGTTCGGAGGCAGTTGAGGCGTGCATCGAGGACACGTAGGTTGGTGAGGTGGGTGATGGATTGAGGGAGACAAACCAACTTGTTTGAGTTCACGGAGAGTTTCTTCATGTGTATTAGATCGAACCCCATTGATTCTGGGAGCTTTGTGAGAATGTTGAAGTTCGCATTCAATTCCTCCAATGACCTGCCAAATGCAAAGCGTTTTCTTCAACTTTTGCAGCTTAACAATATTTACATATTAAGGATATATATATATATAGTATTGTAGGTAGGAATAGAAGAAATTACAAATGAAACCTGCAATTTTTAATGGTTTTAGGTAGAGATCGGAGAAGATTGCCGGAAACATTGAGAGTCTTGAGCTTAGAGAGACAACCAATAGAATTGGGGAGACACTTAAGCTGATTGGAGTGTACATCAAACGCCACCAAGTTAAGTAATCTCGCCGTCAGTGACTCCGGTATGTTCTGTAAATTACATATCAAATTTAATTCACCAATTATTTATATTTAATATTTATAATAAATGGGATGAAATTTATCTTTTTTTCCATCCCTACCGAGATCCCAGCATTTCGTGCAAGGCAAAAGTCAAACCCTTACGTTAAGTTTGTGTTTTTTCCCCTTGTTCTGTTTGTTAATAATTTTAATTTTTAAATAATAAACATATTATATAACTTTAATTTTATAATACATAACTCGCTATAGATTAGCCAAATTGAACTAAAAATAAATTGTTGTGAGGGAATAGTTCGGGTGCAAGTATGAATGATACTTCAAATCCAATACAACGCCGATCTTATCACTTCGTATTATTGTTGACTTTTAATATATGATCGGTGCAAATTCTTATAAAAGTTGCAAAAGATATTAGTATACCACTTATCTCCGCCCATTTTTTCATACTTTATTGATATGATGCGTCATTCGTTCTCTGAGTTATGAATGGTTGATAAAATAAAAGAATCATCTAAATAAATTAAGTTTCATAAAATTATATTTGTATTCATTTATTTATTTTTGAAAGTGTTTATTTTCTATTCGTGTTTAGTATCGTGTTTGTGTTTGTCTATTTACTTTTGAATGTATTAATGTTCGTTCATTTAATATTCGTAAACATGTTCGTTGAACATTCGACAACCAACTTTATTTTTTATCCCTTTATTTGCACGCTAAATAAAAATGGTGAATTATGTTACTAATCCTTAAGTTCCTTACTTTTCACAGTTTGAACTTTAAGTTCACCTTACGTTCAATTTAATCCATATTTTCACCAATATTTAAAATATAGAAAAATAAAAGGAAAAAGATAATCGAGTAAACAAGTCGATAAACAAATTTGTTCGTGAATATAAACGAACCGAATACATCTTTATCTGCATTCGTTCATTTATTATATGAAGATAAAATTGTTCATTCATCCCTTTCATTTAGGACTCGAATCTCTATCCTCATAACAGTTAGGCCTACAGTTTGCAAAACAAGTCTTGTTCGAGACTTCTCTTGCTCAGGAAACATAAATCATATGTCATGAGGATAATAACTGAATAATATTATTATTGAGAGAAAATTTATCAAGGATATATAGAGAAGATGAGATACCTGAAGATTATTGTTGGAGAGGTTTAATTTGCAAATGGTAGTCAAATTGAGAGAAGATTTTGGAAGAGAATCCATTGACAAGCCACTCAAGTCTACAATATCAAGCCTCTCTTCTTCTTCCATGAATCTTTTCCCACTTCTGCTCCCATCTCCCATTCTCATCAACTGCTGCTGTTCTGTCATCATTTTCTAATTTTATTGTTATTAAACGCGACACGGCGCTGTAAGGAAGAGGGGAAAAAACACCCCAAAAAACAAAGTAAAAAGGGAATTTGATTTGATGAAATGAGATGGTTGTGCTTTGGTTATAGAAGGGCGTACGGAGGAGAGGAGCAAAACACTTGAGCGTTAGGGCAAGAGACGATTGAAAAAAAAACAAGAGGGGTTATTATGATATTATGGTGTGGGCCACGAGATCAAAGTCAACCCTTCCCTTTTGTTTCTCCTCGGCTGTCCTCTAATGTCGCCCTCGCTGCTCCTTCATCATTCACCCTTTAGACTAAATCCAATTGCCCATTTCTTTTTATTATTCTCAGCACCTTTTCTTGTTGGATAATATACATGTAACATGAGAGATCAATGACTTATGTATAAATATTTTTTAGACATTGATTTTTTAATTAAATATAATAAATGGTTGTTAAAATTTTTAAATGATTATAAAATAGGTTCTTATAATATTACAATGATAATAAGTTTTAACAAGTTTAAATCTTATTTTTAATAATGTAAGTTTAAAAAATGTTTGTTTCAGTTTAATTAATTTTAATGATCATTATATAATTATTTATAAACTTTAATCTTTATTTTATAATATATAAATTACCAATCAAAATTTAATTTTATATAATTCAATGTTTTTTTTTATACTTTACCTTCTTATTTATTTATGCAATAGTATGGAATTACCTACCAACCCATTTACGCTAGTGGGGTTTCTTTTATCAAGCACATTCGTAAGCTTATCACTCAAGTTCTTCAACTCTCTCCTTCTTATCTTATCGCTAATCTTTTTTTAAATTGTAAGATTTAATTTATTTAATATTTAAATTTACAAGAATCTAAATTGCTGACATAAGCCCCTAATTCCATTCATCATAAGGAAAAGTTTTTCAAACAACTTGTTTTCTTTAATCACAATTGTATAAAAATAAATATTAAGATATAAATTCAATTTTTAATATTATTTTTAAAAAATGATTATTTGAATTAACTAAATTTTAAGTTAAATTACATGGATTATTTAAAAAAACCAATGAAAGTAATTAACCTGAAATATTTGTATTGTTATTAATTAAATAAAAAGATAGAATACAGCAATGAATTATCCTGTGCTTTTGGTTATTCAAAATTCTAATATAAAGAATTGGGGTAAAATGAATTGTTGTTATGCCTAAAATACTTAAATTCGAATAATTACGTATGTAAAATTTGTACATATTATCAATTAATTAAAAATATTCGAAATAAATATTACGTTGTAATCACCTAGACTATTAAAAAAACTAATTTCAAAATTTAACCTCAGCAAAATAGTTTCTTGGAAACCAGAGTGGAATAGGTAAGCTCATTCCAGGCATCAGTAACCCACATCGGTTGCGAGATTTGGGCAACCCTGTTACGTTCAACAGTATCACAGGGACCTTCATTTCCGGAATCAGTTCTTCCGATCCACTATCTTCATTTTCAAAATAACAGAAACTAATTAGCCAGTGCAATCCCATATATCTGCAGCAATCGGTGTCTGTATGTAGTGTGCATAGTTCATGTAAAATACTTGGAATCCTTTAATGGCAAACCCTATTGACCATATGGTAAGCAAGCAGTATATGAATTTTCATTCTAGGTTCAAAAGGTTTGTTGAAAAGGCTGCTTGGAAATGTCCTTATCCAAGTATCAAAATATGAGAAAACCTAATGAAAGAGGCAAGAATATTACAAGACAAAATTGTGAGTGATCTAAAAGTAAAGTTGCAGCTCCTAGATGAATGTATGAAATCTCTCTGGTATTGAGCTTAAGTAGTAAAAAAAAAATGAAATCCCTCTTTTTTTAGTTATTTTGTAGCCATGGACCTCATACATTTTGCTTCACGTAGGAGGCATAAGAGTGATTCAAACTGATTGCGGTTCATGGAGTCCCCAACCAACATCAGCCTCTTACCTATTAGTCTCTCCAAGAAGTCAGTAGCATTAAACCTGGTAAGTAAATGCATGAAAGAAAATTAATTACAGTTCAGTGGATAAGAAGCTACAGCTACCCTAATTTTTTAATATAATTTTTTATATTCGCACTCATGACACAAATTCTTGAGTCCGTTCCTGGCATTAAAGCACTGCCGGGACAACACATCCATCCACCCACACACTCGTAATGAATCTCAATTTCTGCCTTCAAGTAGCAATACAGTTTTAAGTCAAATCAGATACTAGATTTTCAGTGTGATAGTTACACTGAATTCAAAGATGAATTAAAAGATTTTATAGAGGGAAAGATGAAAATATTATATATTCTTAGGTTCATGTAAGAACGGTTCGTGTATGCTTTGTTGAACTTAAGCCAAACACGAAGTTTGAGGTTAATAGTACAAAAAGTTAAATCTGCGGAATAAGAAAAGAAACATGGTCTGTTTTGCTCGTTAATTCAGTTGTTAGTAAGCTAAACGAAAATCGTAACCTGCAGAAGCAAGGTAACCATGTGGTGGAGCATGGATGGACCATGGGGTGCGGTGGCACCCTAAAATTTTAAATTTCCTTATATATTAAGTATTTCCTTTGTATTTTATATGAATTATTTGATTTCGTACCCCTAATATTTTATAATCTCGCACCCGCTAAAATTTTAATATAATTTTTTATATTCGAACCCTTAACATAAATTTATGCGTCTGTCCCTAGGCTACAAATTTGGATGATTTTGTTTCTCATTATTTACTAGAATTTGTGGAAGCAGCGTAATCTCCTTATTTTTGACAAGACAACAACAACAACAACAAAACCCTATTCTCATATGCAATGGGGTAAGGGGGAGGTAGGGTAGTAGACTGCCCCCAACGTCAGGTTGTGGGCAGCTTCCGTGGAAGACCTCCGACAGTCAAAAAATTAAAAATAAAGATAAAATACAATGCATGTATAAATAAATAAATAAATACATAGTTGAACAGTCTTCATATGCCCGTCTGTAATAGGAAGTAATCCCTACAAATAAATCCATGCGTAAAAATCTCTGCATATAGACAGAAACGTAAGTCCGGGCTAAATTTAAAAAGAGGAAACATGAAGAGAATGATACACAGTAGTCAGCAATAGCAAGCTACGAGAAGGAATAAAGTCAAATGGGTTAAAACCTAAACTAAGGCAACACTACTCCGCTATCCTAGTTCTAAGCCTTCATAAATTCCAATGACAGACACGTATAAAAAGTAGAAGTCATGGAAATTACTACAAAGGTATTAAAAAGAATACAGAGATGCTACACCCTATGGTTGTGACCCACACTACTCGGCTACCATGGTCTTAAGTCTCTGTACTTTCCTGTCAGAGGTCATGTCCTCGGTAAGGGCTAAATCTTTCAAATCAGATCTCAAGCAGTCTACCCATTTCCTCCTTGGTCGTCCTCTCCTTCTGGCACCGTCGGCTGTAATCGACTCTACCCTCCTGACCGCATCCGACGATTATCGCCTAAGGACATGACCAAACCACCGTAGTCTTCCTTCCCTCAACTTTTCGGATACAAGCACCACCCCCAAGGACATCCTAATTGCAGAGTTCGGTGTCATGTCCCAAAGAGTCCTACCACATGCCTATCGAAGCATTCTCATTTTTGCGGCCTCCATCCGCCTTACGTGATCCTTCTTGATTGCCCAACATTCTGATTCATACAACAACACTAGTCTTATTTCCATTCTATAAATTTTCCCTTAAGCTTTAGAGGCACCTTCTTGTCATACAAAACTCCAGTTGCAACCCTCCACTTTAGCCATCCCGCCTTTATACGGTGTGTAACGTTATCATCTACACCCCCATCTTTATGTATCATAGACCCTAGGTACTTAAAATAATCCTTTGAGGGGAGAACGTGTCCTTCGATGCATACTTCTACATCTTCATCGTTTTGGTTCCCACTGAAGTTTGAACATAAATACTCTATCTTTTTAATATTGATCCTTAGACCTTTTTTCTTCCAAAGCTGTCTTCCAGGTAGCCAATATATTATTCAACTCATTTTTTGTTTCAGCAACTAGGACAATGTCGTCAGCGAAAAGCATACACCATGGAACACCGTCTGGTATCGCACAATAGATGTCGTCCATAATCAAGGCGAAGATGTAAGGGCTAAGAGTCGATCCCTGGTGGAGTCCGATTTCCATTGGGAATGCCTCGGTGTCACCAACTGTAGTCTTGACGTATATAGTAAATATACAATACATATCACGAATTGCCCGTATATAAGCAGTTGGGATCCATCTCGTTTCTAAGGTCTTCCAGATCGTATCACGGGGAACGCTATCATACATATTTCAAGGTCAATGAACGCCATGTGAAAATCTCTATTTCCCCCCTATAATTCTCCATAAGCCGTCGAAGTGGATGAATCGCCTCCGTAGTAGACCTGCCTGACATAAAGCCAAAATGGTTTTCCGAAACCCTAGTAACATGTCTCAACCTAGCCTCCATCACCCTTTCCCATACCTTCATGGTATGATTGAGTAGTTTAATACCTCTGTAGTTACCACAACGTTGGGGAACTCCTTTATTCTTATAGATTGATATCACCGTAGACTCTCTCCACTCCTCTGGCATGGCAGTCTCTAAAATAATATTAAAGATGTTGGTCAACCACTTAACTCCCTCTTCTCCTAGGGTCAACCACACAGTGATAAGAATTTGATCTGTACCTACAGCTTTGTCCATTCTCATCTTTCTAAGGGCCATTTTGACTTCCTCAATCCCAATCCTACTTGTAGGGCAGTCATTGGCCATAGTATGATGGTCGGTTGACCCATCAAAGTTACTATCTCTATAGGGAGAGGCACCATTATTAAATAAGCCAAAGAAGTAACTACCCCAAACCCTCTTAATATCACGATCTTTCATTAGAAGAACACTATTGTTGTCCTTAATAAACCTAATGCTATCTAGATCATTTTTCCTATTCTCCATGGATTTTGCAAGCCTCAAGATGCCGTTTTGTCTTTCCTTGGTGTCTAATCTCTTGTACATTTCCTCGTATACCTTATCCTTTGCTTTAGCCATTGTTTTCTAGGCTTCCCGCTTTGCCTCTTGTATCTTTGTTTAGATATCGATCTTTCTTTGTCATCATTGCATTGTAGCAACTCCTTGAAG